GTGTGTGTGGTGTGTGTGTATGTGGTGTGTGTGTGTGTGGTGTGTGTATGTATGTGTATGTGTGTAGTGTGTGTGTGAGAGAGAGAGAGAGAGAGAGAGAGAGAGAGAGAGAGAGAGAGAGAGAGAGAGAGAGAGAGAGAGAGAGAGAGAGAGAGAGAGAGAGAGAGACTCGAGATCTGATTCCAGTGCCTCATGGACGAGCTATTTAAACTCTGAGTGGAAAGCCTTCCATGGGTGAGGAGGCTCAGAGGGGCCACAAAACCTTCTTCCGTCCAAGTGTGAGTGTTGACACTGAGTGCTTTCTCCACCTGGTGTCTAGGGCCCGAAGCCTGTTCCCCTCCCGAGACTGCTGAGCTCCACCTGCCTCCTCGTTTATCTGTCCATGACTGCCTCCTTTTCAAATATATAGAATAGACACGCTTGCTTTTCCAGCAGAGCCTAGGCCATCATGTGTCTGTGTCGTTGCTCCCTCAGCACCCCTGTCACAGTCCTGGGGTCCAAGCAGGACAAGGCAAGTCAAAGCATTGGTCGTGAAGCCCAGAGTCCATGTAAAAGTGGGAGAACCGAATGGAAAGTTGTCTGCTGACTTCACATGTGCCCTGTAGCATACGTGCCAGCCCCAGCCCCCATAGTAAATGTTCCTTAAATTTCAAAATATTGTAAGTAGTTAAATATTTAGTATCTAATAGCTTGCCAAGCCCCTTGTGTACATGGTTTAAAGGGTGGATCCTTGACCACTACCATTGCTGCTGTCACCCTATTTGTCATGGTTTCCTGAGGACATGAACCACAAGTCTGGGGACTGTGGAGAGCTTCCTGGTGTCTGTACCTCCAGGGTTGTCATGCAAAATCCTGTGGGTGGTGCCATTTGGGGGAGGGGCTGTGTACACTCATCTGATTCTAAAAAAAAGGAAGTATATGGGTGTGTTGCCCACAAGTATGTCTATGTACCACATGTGTGCACATCTGTCTGGGGGAGCTGAAGTTACAGATGTGGGTGCCAGGAACCGAACCCAGGTCCTCTGGAAGGGCAACCAGTGCTCTTAACTGCGGAACCATTTCTTCATCTGTCACCTGATTTCTGAAGGAGTACATGTCCTCAGACAGAGGAACAGGTATAGGTTAGATCATTTCTTTGTCCCAGGCAAATGTGCCTACACTCTTCCTGGACTGTCTGGAGAAATCTATGATGAGCTATTTGGGACCCTCTGCTCAGCGAGGGGTGGGGGGCTGTAGCACAACGGGAAGGAGGGGTTTTAGTTTTGGGGCCGGTGGACCCTGGCTGAATCCTGCACTTTGCCTATAACCTCCCCTGATTGACCCTCTTTTTGAGATTGCTGGGCTGTTGCAAAGGATTCAAGACCGATGTGTTTTCCTCTTATTAATCTGCTTGTGCAACCAGGGGTTTGTTCCAACTAAGAACCTATAGGGTCGGGGGCTGGAGAGATGGCTCAGAGGATAAGAGCACTGCCTGCTCTTCCAGAGGTCCTGAGTTCAATTCCCAGCAACCACATGATGGCTCACAACCATCTGTAATGAGATCTGGCGCCCTCTTCTGGCCTGTGGGCATACAGACATATGCTGTATACATAATAAATAAATGTTTAAAAAAAAAAAAAGAACCTATAGGGTTCTTGCCAGGCATCCTCATTACAGTAACATGGTCTTTAAGCCCTTCATGGAGATCCCTGATGAACCCCCATGATGCCCAAGGATGGCCGGGCAGCCTGGAAGTCCAGCTATTTCCAACTTTTGGATGACACTCAGAATGCTTCCCCGTGGGAGCAGACAGTTTGGAAACCAACTCAGCCGTGGAAGAACTAGCCACATATCCAGAGGACATGGGCTTTGTGTTCACAAGGAGGCCCTCCGTGAGTTCAGGGACTGGCTGCTGACCAGTAAGGTGTCATCTGCAGCTCATGCTGGTGCCATCACTCATATAAGGTCACTGCACCACCCAGCACGCTGCTCTGCGGGCTGAGAACGCTGCTCTGCGGGCTGAGAAGGCCTCTTTCTCGGCTTCAGGCATCGCTCTTAAAGCCCCCACTGACATTAGAAGAGAGGTGCGGCTGGCAAGGACCAGGGTGAAGGTGGGAGCCAGTGAAGCCACGCTGCGGTCTCAGCGAAGGTTGTCACTCAGCAGGTGTCTGACACCGCTGCATCTACAGCCCCACAGTGCTCGGCTTCTCAGAGCAGACTCTGCTCTCTCTCCCTGGAGTGTTCACAGCGCTGCCAGTGTTTGCAGATGGGGGAGTCAGCCACTCCCTGCCTGAGAGCCACACTCTGCCCTCAGTGGATAGCGTGGGTCCTGGCTTTGCTGACACGGAGGCTCCTTCCCACCCGCTGAGAAGGCCCAGCTGCTGACAGAGCTGCTCCTGTGGCTGCGGTGGCCTCAGCCAAGGACGGGTCAGAGGAATCAGAAAAGGATGTGGACTTTCTGTCCCCCAAAGTAACCTCTCTGTGTCCTCCTGAGGACTCCCAGCCTCCAGCCTCCTTTCCTTCTAGTCCTACTTGACGCCATTCCCCAGCCCCGCCCCCACAGAGCTGATAGGTTCATTTCCCAGGGTGTCCTTGCCCTGGACACGGGCTTCCATGCCCAATCCACTGACCACCCCCAGCAGCAGGTGTTCCATGGGGGCCTGGTAGCTCCGAGAGCAGCTGGAGAGCAGAAATGAAGACTGGCTGCAGGACTTGAAGCTGCTGTATTCTAACGCTGATATAGTCTATCCCCAAAGTGTCCCCTTCAGCTGAGCAAAAACATACCCCTGTGGGGACCCAACGCTGCCATGGAGGAACAAAGGTTTCTCAGTTCTCTGAGCCCCAGAGTCTGCCTACAGCTTCAACACACATGGCCCACTCGGGAGAGGATATGGCCATGTGACTCACAAGCTCGGAGACAAGGTCACCTTTGTCCAGCCTTTCCCTGCCTGGGAAAAGCCTCTGACTGCAGGACACAGGATGCGACTGGAGCCACCCTGGTGATGGCTCAGAGGCTGTGGGGATGGGTGACATGTCAGGTCAAGGTCACGTGGCCCCCAACTCTATTCAAATGGGCTTGGGGTCTCTTCCTGTTGTCTCAGAGTCCTAAGGGGGCTCTTTGGGTGGGGCATTTGCACAATCTGGTCTCATTTATTTATTATCCTGTCTGAAATCTATCAGCAAGGCCACCCCGCATGTCCTCACTAGCACACATTCTCCGTCACGGAAGGACAGCGGTTCTCAGAAGACAGGAAAGTTCAGGAAAGATAAACACTCCAGCTGACACAAGGGTGGCAGAAGTGTCCCCACTGGGCAGCCTCTGGAACACCTGCTGTGATGCTCACACAGTCCCCTGTCCTGTGATGGATCTGGGGCTGGAAGTCTTTGCAGCTGAGAAACACCACAAAGTGGCGACTGCAATTTGCCCAGCTGGCTGTGTGGCTAATTCCTTCCAGAACGGACTATGGTAGAAGTCCCCAAATGTATGAAGTAGTGGTCAGACATGGTGGGCACGTCCCAGGCCTGGGACTGGGCTAGGGTCTCGCATTTTGATCAGCGGTCCTGGACACCACTCTGAGGAACACTCCTCATCTCAGGTAGTGCTGGTGGGATTCTTTGGCTGGACTGACCTGTGCCCCAAGAAAATCTGGCTGAGCCGAGGATACTCAATCCAGCCAAGTCAACCCGAGAATCTGCAGGCAGGAGGCTTTGTTGGCAGGCTTATGGGCTGATGGGAAAGCCCTGCCCTGCCTCCGTTTCCTTTTAGTCCTCTTACCTGCCCCAGTGTCTTAACACTGTCCTGGCAGCTTTCTGGGGTCACCTCTTACACTGACCCAAGGATATTAGGGTATCAGCATGGAAGATGCTCTTCAGACCAGAGCCTTCAGTCCCAGGCCACCGGCTGAATGCCCAATAGCCCAGCCTTGATGGCCCACACTGACACCGTTGGACTCAGCCCACAGACAACTCATTAGGGTCTTATGATATCTATGATATGATACCTGCCCAGACACTAAGCTCAGATACCTGTTTTCTTAACCCCTAGGTGTATTCTAGAATAAAAGCAACAGCTACCATTCAACTAATGATGTGTAGCAGGTAATAACGTACACAACCCAACGGACAAGGCACAGAAGCCCCATGCTAAGAGGGGTTTGGATGTAACCTGAGCTCTTGGGTCTAAGCATGTGCCCTGACCTATGGGCGTGGCCAGCCTTTCCTGCCTTGGTGCTGGGGTGGGGCGTCCTCAGGCCCTAACATCTTTTATCCAGATCTGTATCTTCATCTTGTGGTCAGCCTGAACTTGGTCTCTTCCCTCTAATCTGACTTTTCTGGATGCAAAGAGGGGTCTTTCTAAGCTGGGAGTCTGATGTCACTGGCCGGAGCTCTTTGAAGTCCTCCTTCGAATTCTTCCTGGTCCCAAGTTGAAGGACAACAGACTACGGTTCTGTGTCCCAGCTACCAACTCACGCTGCCTCTCCGAGACTTCTTTTCCTGGTTGGCACACGAGGGACCATGGCAAAGGGTTGTTTTACTTAAGGGAGGGTTGAAAAGGGCAGTTACTGGGGAGGCGGATGGGAGGAATGTGCCCACCAGGAGTTTGAGGTCAACCTGGGCAGCACAGCAGAGACAGACCTTATCTAAAAAGCCAAACCAGCAACAGAGAGAATGGAGCAGAGGAGTGGAGAGAGGCACCGGTTACTCTGGGAGGCCAGTCCATTTCTTCTGTTCCACAGTCTCTCCATCAGGCGCCCACTGTCTGGGCAGTGGCTGTTTCCACCGTGAGTAGGTTGAGGCAGTCAGACTGTATGTGGAGCTGCCTGGAGTCTTTACAGATAGCCCACTCTGCCTCTGCTGCGGTCAAGCAATGACAGGACAGTGAAACCCAAGCCCGTGAAACCCAGGGAAAGCCAGCCAATGCCAGGCCAAGTGCCTGAGAAGGCAGAGTCCGGCACTGCATACTTTGCTGTGGGCCTGGCTCCTGGGACGCCCCTGTAAAAATGACAGCCTAGGACCACCACTGTTTCTACAACAACGAGAGTATTTATTTTCTTCAAACAGTAAAAATAACATTTCTCTCTTTTGTAAAAGTTAAGTACCATCACATTCCATTTTCTTAAATAACAAAATCCTAAAAATATATATTAAATTGTATACAGTGTGTCACACTTCATTTTATATTTTAAAATACACGATGTTTCTATTTTATTCTCAGAGTTGCATATTAAGAGCATATTTACAAATAAAGCATTGTTGTCCAAAGTCAGATCCCTGCTGGAGGGTGAGTTTGGAAATGGGAAGGTCTTGGTGCCACGAGGGTGCCAGGGATGGCAGCTCCCTGTGCAGGCAGGAGAGGATTCCTTGCACACATCCTTCTGACACGAGATTCACCCCACTGCCGTCCCCTGCCACACACACACTCAGCCTCAGCCAGCATGCTCAGCTCCGACACTGCAAGACCCCAGGTTGTGCGGCAGACGGGGTGGGGGTGCGGCTGGCAGGTCTGACAAGCCCCCACCCTCATACCAGAGCAGCTAGGTTGAGAGCGGCCTGGAGGTAGGGTGAGGACAGTAAACAAAGGCACGGGAAGGGTTAACAGTTGCCCAGGCAGTACCCAAAGCAGACACCAAACACCAAGCAGGGGAGTCCAAGCCCCAGAGGTAACCATGGGAGGACTGTGGAGTGAGGAGCTGGCCTGGGAGACCCAGCGTGGGTCCTGCAGAGAGGTGGACAGAGGCTGGGAGGTCAGACACTCTAAGTGCTCTTGAAGGTTAAGCGTGGACTGTCCCTGGGGGTTGGCAACAGCTGTGCAAGCCCTGCTGGCGTCAGACCAGCGGCTGATGAGGAGGGTCAGGTGGGGTCCCGCCTGGGCTGGCCCTGGGACATGGGGTGGCACCTGGCCCAGGCACGGGAGCCAGGACAGCTGTACCTGCCTGCCAGAGCTTTGATCTTCGGGAGCTTTTCACTAAGGTCTGAAGCCAGAGCCTACATTTTGAGAAGTCCGAGAGGTGTGGTCACCTTGCTCTCTCCAGGCGGCCTCGGCCCCATCCTTGCTGATGTGGGGGAGACACAGGCTTCTCTCCTACTGTCTCTGCTTTAAGGAATGAGACCAGTGGGGAAGAGCACAGGCGCCTGCACTAACCTCTAAGGCCATACTCAGTCTTTTGTGCCCCTGTTCTCCTCAGGTAACCTCCATCTTCCTCAACTCAAAAGGCCCCTCCCCCAGAACGCTTGGCACCCTGGAACACCCACCTCAGGGTCTAACTCATTTCTGGAGGTTCGGCCTGGGTGACTTACAGTCTTTCCCACTGCCTCAGGCTGTTGTACGGTGGGTTGGTGCTTCCTGGGACTGCTCCCCAGAGAGGAAGTGGACGCTGGAATGCTGGGCTGTGCCCAGGCCAGCAGCAAGAGGCGTGTGGGCACGTCCTCTGCCCTTCCTGGGAATGACAATAAAGGGCAGCTGAGTTGTAGCTGCCACCACTGGGGTATGGCTTCCTGTGTCTGAGATGTGAAGAGGCCATGAGAGGTGGCCTGAAGGAAGCCCGGGGCCATCGATCAGAGCTAAGCAAGTGTCCTGGCCAGCTGGCCCTGCCTGGGAGAGCCCACATCGTCTGTGCTATGCACATGGCACTCCGTGACTCACACTTGTTTCCAGAGGGGATCCCACAAGCATTAGGAACAGCCTGGAGAGGAACCTGCTCCTGTCAGTCTGTTTCCAGTGGTCTTCGTGTGTGGTGAGTCTGTCTTCAGACCCAGGGGCTGTAGCTTTTCCAGATCAAAGTGAGATCCCAGCAGCTCTGCACCCCTCCTGCCTCCAACAGGAGCTGGCCAGCATCCCTGGCCCACTATCCAGACACGGTTTTCCTCCTCCCATCAGCTCTGGTCACTGCTTCTCCCTGAGGATGCTCCCGATGGTCCCATATAGTCCCCTGTTCTGGGAGCAGCCAGCTACTTATGGGTTACCCGAACCCTACAAACGGCCTCAATGGCAGTGGCTTAGCGAAGCAGGGGAGCCAAGCATAATGCTCCAAGAGGGTTACCCAGGCAACCAGAGGCCACAAGCGCTAACGCACAAATGCTGGCAGGAGAGCCACACTCTGACCAAGGTCCACCTTCAGGACACAGGCTGTTCCTCTCAGCTGCTGCTGACAAAGGCCATTTCCAGAGTGCCAGGCTTCTCCATCAGGGATGGCCCTTCCTCTCCTTACTCTTCCAGCCTCTCCTGGGAAGACCTCCAGTTCCCAAGCCCTGTCTTTTCCTTTTGCCAACCTCTACAGTCTGCCTCCCTGCCTAAGGGACAAAGCGATGGGACAAGGCGAGAGCCCTTAGTCCTAACTACACCGTCCCCATGATAAGGGACGAAGGACATAGCTTTTGGTTTTGATCTTTTAAAACGATGGCACCTCCTGCAGGCATCACAGGGACGCTGCCTACAGTCTTTTTCTCTCCCTCTTCTGGCAGTGCTGGCATGGGCCTCCCTCGTGTGTGCAAGCTGGCTCTCTCCCACTGAGCTACAGCCCCAGCACTATGCTCATACAGCCTTTGAACTCCCGGTTCTGAACTAGGAGTTGGCTGAGTTCAGATTCCACAGGACTGAATCTTGGGGCAGGCTAGGTAAGTCTAGTATACAGGAAGTTTACAGTGTCTGCTCCATAGACAAACAGACTGGACTTTTTATGCTCAATCTCCAGGCTTGTTCTGCAGGTCAGTGAATCCTCTAGAAAGAAGACATCTAGTGTGACCCTGTTCTCAGGCTTCTCCGACCAGATGAGGCATGCCTCAGTTGGCCTCAGAGAGAAAGCTTCAGGGCCAGTACAGAGCACTGGGTCTCTGCCCACTCTGAGGTGCTAACGTCCAGGAGACCACACTCGGCAGGGAACTAGGCCAGTCTTCAAGAAAGCCCGAGAATTTCTTCAGTCTGGCTCTGTTCCAACCGGTAAAGACCAGGGGAAACTGACCCATTCGAGGGCAAAATAGGGAAGAAGCGAGAAAAACCCATCACACACTAAACTACCCACCACCCAACAGTCGCCTAGAATCAGGCCCAGCTGTGACAATCAGCGCAGCCCGCCTTAGAATCCCCAGTGGAGACAGAGTTGCAGGCCGGGCACAGCTTAAGTGCAAGTGATGGAGGAGGGCTCCAGGCTACGCTCCCCTGTAACAGGGTTCCCATTCCAAGTCTGCAGAAGGGCGGCCCCATGAGACTTTAGGAGCCCCATTCGGAGAGGCTACGGGGGAAGGGACCAGCAGCCTTGAGCTCAGAGAGGAGCCTCCTGTCTGGGTGCAGTGAGGCTTTAGTCACTCACGAGGGGATTCCGGTCATCTTGTTGGCTCTGGCCCTTGAGCTTCTTCTTAAAGATGGAGATTGTAGTGGAAGGTTCATAGAAAATGGTCCAGATCTCCCCAGAAGCCCCTGGCTGACGACAGTCCCTAAGGTCTCCTGAAGCAGGCACACGATGAGACCTGTCAAACAAAAGTGTTTAAGTAGGATTTGAACAAAGCACTCTGATCGACACCTCCCAAGGCACCTGTCCCTGCGAGGCGTGGCCTTGGGAAAGTGCTGGCTACCTTAAAGAGTTAAGGGTGAAGCTGGGCATGGTGGCGCACACTTTTAATTCCAGCTTAGTAAGAAGGGACAGGCGGACCTCTGTGAGTTTGAGGCCAGCCTGGTCTACAGAGTGAGTTTCAGGACACTCAAAAAAACAAGACAAAACCAAGAGTTATGGATGAAATGTGACCTGTGTGCATGGGCATCAAGGAAGGGCAGAGTCTTCTCATGGTAACAAGGGACTTCCTGTCAAAATAATTCAAAGCTGAGAAAGGGTGTTTGAAGAGATTATGAATTTTCAAATATCCCTTTTCTTCTTCTTCCTCTACTCCAATAAAAGAATGTTACCTACAAATGCCACTTACCTAGAAGCCCATCTACCTTAAACAGGGGGACATCCTCAGCGTGAAGCAGGGAGCCCTGACTTACAGCCTTATTCCTGGCCTTCCCTTCTCTCTACTCCCTGACTGGCAGGGAGGCCGTGGAGGACAGTGTCAGAGGAGAGGGTTGCGCTTTAGGGCTTCAGCCTCGCCACGAGACACTGCGCCTGTAGCTATTGCAGAGACACAGACAGGACTTAGTCCCGAGAGACTCCCTAGAATGCCAGTTGTGACGTTTACCATATTTAGTAGGTCCTCTGAAGGTGCAGGTTCTACATCAGTGAGGGCAGCCGACCGCAGGTGAAAATCCTTGAGAGAAAGTTTAGTCTGGGCTGACACATGCAGATTTTACTCCTTTTCATTATTTACTAATGACTACTTTGCAATGGCACTGTTAGATACTGTGAGCATGAGAGGTGCACTGGAGCACACACTGCGTGGGAGGACGTGAGTCATGTTCAGCCCTACACCATTTTATAAGAGACTTGAGAAATTCAAGACTTGGCATCCACATGGCGTTCTGAAACTAGTTCTCAACAGATAGCAACATAAGAATCCTCTCCACACTGTGTGGTGGTGGCGCACGCCTTTAATCCCAGCACTCGGGAGGCAGACGCAGGCGGATCTCTGTGAGTTCGAGACCAGCCTGGTCCACAAGAACTAGTTCAGGACAGGCTCCAAAGTCAGAGAAACCCTGTCTTGAACCCCAACCCTCCAAAGAACCCTTTCCACATCTCATCTTTCTCTCTGCGTGTGTGTGTGTGTCTGTCTGTCTGTCTGTCTGAAAGGTGAGCTCAGTTGACAACAGTAAAGACATTATTTCTACTGAAAAAGTTCAGAGAGGAGATGGGCAAGGTCACCAGTGTGGTCACAGCTGGCTTTCCTGTGTAAACGTTTGCAGCGAGGGCAAATGAGGTCAGGAAAGGAGGCTCCTACAGGAAGGCCTTTAAGTGGGAGTCAGAGAAAAGAAAACTGAAGTCTAAGGAAAGCGAGAACTCTACAGCACACACAGCAGAGCACACAGGGAACAACTTTCTTCAGTTTTGCTAGAACTAAATGATAGTTTGTTTTGGTTTTTGAGACAGGGTTTCTCTTTATTGCTTTGGAACCTGTCCTGGAACTTTGTAGATCAGGCTGACCTCGAACTCACAGAGATCCACCTGCCTCTGCCTCCCGAGTTCTTGGGATTAAAGGTGTGAGCCACCACCACCTGGAAATGATAGATAGTTTTTTAGCAAAAAAAAAAAAAAAATGAAGACAGGTTTTGTTTTTTGTTTTATTTGAGACAGTGTCACTTTGTAGTTCAGGCTGGCCTGGTATTTATTATGTAGAAAAGACTGGTTTCAAGTTTGCAGCAATGCTCCTGTCTCTGCCTACTGAGTGCTGAGATCACAGGCATGAGCTACTGTACTTAGCAGGGATATGGTCTTGATAAGCTGCTCACATTGGCCTCAGTCATAATTCTCCTGCTTCAGCTTTCTAAGTAGCTAAGATTACAGGTGCCTGGTTTAAATAAATGTTCAGAAATAAGTTTTAGGGTGATGGGTGTACTTTCTGGTCACCCAGAGTTTGGGATAAGATAGAGTTTGGGCATACACAGGCCCACAGAGCCCCAGACACAACAGGGCACACAGACCTCTCCAAAGGTCACCATGGAAAAGGAGGAGGGAATAACACAAGAGCCAGGTGGTACAACACTCTGCCTCATGGGTATGACATGGCTTTGGTACCCAGGAATTCATGGCAGCTGTATAAGACTGAATCCTAAACACTTAGTCACAGGTAAGGGAGGGGCTCGGGGGCCACAGCCTCAGCTGGGAGAGCTAAGGCGGTCAAGGGCTGTTGGAGGTGGGGAGTCACTGTCTTCAGGGGCGTGGCCACTGGTGAGCAGCTCATGCTCCAGTGCACAGCTGTGTACCCCATGCGGGCAGCCCTACCTGAGCCCAGTGGGCCACAAGGTAGAAACAGAAACAAAACAGGAAGCCCTGAGAGTAGGAGGGCGGCTTGGTGGGGTGATGGGAGTAGGCGTGGCAGAAGAGAAGCACTGGGTGTCTGTGAGCAGAGTATTTACATGCATGTACAGAGCTGTCAAGGAATAAATTAATAACAATTGTTAAGCACTAGTTGAAATGTTGAAATTCTCTTCATAAGACTTTCTTAGTTTCTAGAGGCACTGGGAAAAATGCACAGTACTGTCCTAGGAAGCTCTCCAAGGGGACAGCACAAGCCCCCATGCAGACAACTGCTGTTTCCTAAGCCAGGATGGTTTCCACCTTTCCTGAAACTGAACCTACTAGACACAGAATGCCTGCACCTTAGAGAGATTTGTCCTGTTGTCTGTTTCTCTTGAGCGGAAGAGGAAGAGGCAGCCTTGTGCTGCCTGGGACCCAGCCTCCGGAGTCACGCCCTGTTCACAACTGTACCCAGATAAATGAAGGAATGACAGAGGGAGGACCTGCTGAGTCCCCAGACCCCACTTCTCTTGTACTCACTTAAATGTGGCGTGCAGAAGGGTCTTTGCAACGACGGCTGTGACTGTGAGGATGAGGAGGGTTGCTAGGCCATATACGGTCCATCCTGCAAGTGCAAAAGGAGCTTACCAGATTAGTGTGCTTTCATTTTCCACAGGAGATCGGCAGCCCAGGGGTGCACATCTGGGTTTGTGAACCCTGCAGGTGGGAGCAGCCACCAAACCTGGCAGTGGTTATAGCTGGAGCTTGGCTGAGCATGGAATTTCCTTATGACTTTGCCTTGTTCTGAAACTCCCTCTGGTAGTTTCCAAACACCAGACTCGGAGTCAAAAGGGGTGTGATGAATCTGTATGCTACTAGAACCCATCAGTTAGTTACCTAGAAGTCCTTGGGTCCCAGTTTTCTCATCTGAGCAATGAAAAGTGTGACCTATGAAATCCTACTAGAATCCACAGTCAAATAAGGTGGGGCTGGAGAGGCCTCTTCCCTGACCTTTCATGATGAGATCTACAGAGGCCAGGGAGCAGTGTAAAGACCTCAAGACCACATTCATTATAGATGGCAGTCCTTTTCAGTGCCCAGCTCATTCGGGGACCATATCCTCAATAGAAAAGCAGGGAAGGACACCTGTAGCCAACTACACCAGCTTAGCCATGGGAGATCGTGAACCATGGTCTCCCCTGCATGGCTGCTCTTGGTAGCTCTTAGCACTCCTGACCTCCGACAGTGTTTTTGGTTTCCTTCCTCCCACTGCAACCCATAGGAAACATGCACAGTATTGTCCTAGCATGCTGTGTGCATTTCACTCTGCAGAAGAGGAGGGATATCTGGCATCATGTTGCCTACACCTTGGAGACTGGACTCATGTCTCCAGACAAAAGAAGGGCAGGAATTCATCTGGTTCCATGTATGGCCCAGTGTTTAGAACAGTGCTTGGCATCACTGAAGGAATCCTGTGTCTTTTGGTTTTATCTTCTCCCTTCCCTTTTGGTGCATGTTCTATGGCTGAGTCAACCTCCAGCCTATATGCACCTCTGAACCAACATATTTGAGGAACTCCACCCTGGGTCTCTAGAAAGACGCTCTTAGAATGATGGTTTTTGTTGTTCGTTTGATTTTCAAGACAGGGTTTCTCTGTATGTTTGGAGGCTGTCCTGGAACTCTCTTTGAAGACTAGGCTGGCCTCGAACTCACAGAGATTCTCCTGCCTCTGCCTCCCGAGTGCTGGGATTAAAGGCTTTCGCCACCACCGTCCAGCCTGATGTTTGTTTTTTTATGATGGTGACGAAGAGACCAGGTTAGCGGCTAATCATGGTTACCAAAGGCACACAGAATCCATCTTTGAAAGGGAACTAAGTTGATAAGAGTATTTCTCTCAAAGGCCATGCAGACTAGAGGTTGCAGAGTCAATAATATCCCAACCTGCCTTTGAAGGAGAAGCACCCACACGCGCCTTTGTTTCTGTAAGTGTTGAGAGAACTACCTTCCACTCTGTGGCCGCTGGCCCCAACTGATGGTGCCCAGGAATGGCTACCTGGGATGGTCTGTGGCGGGTGGTTGGGGCTGGTGGTGATGACATAGAGGACTTTGGAAGAGTGGGCAGCGCTGATGCTCAGGTTGGCTTGCTCGGTGATCACCTCTGCCAGCGTCTGGTTGACAGCAGGCCTCTCCTGTGGTGGTTCTTTCTTGGTGGCTAGAAGACCAAAAGGGTTAACCAGAGAAAGCCAAGGAAGGCAGCAGGCAGGAGGATACTGCTCTGGCCGGCCTGAGACCGTTTCTATTTTTTTTTTCTCTCTGTGTGACAGAATGCTTTGCATTCGTGTGGATGTGCATGCGTGTGGGGTGCATGTACATATGCAGGCACAAGGATGATGCTGGAAATTATCCTTAGACACCCTTCCACGTTACACAATGAGGCAGTCTCAATCAAATGCAGAGTGCCCCAGTACGGCGAGTCTCCACAGCCTGTCCTGGGATCCCATCTGCGGCCCCCAAGGCTGGCATTAGAGGTGGGTCACCACACACACTGGGCATTTATGTGCACTGCAGGGTCTGAACTCTACCCCTCATGCTCGCCCTGCACCTAGCCCCTGAACCATCACCTACACAATTCCCTCTTCTTGAGACAGAGTCTCATATAGCCCAGGCTAGCCTCCAGCTATGTAGTTGAGGATGACCCTGACCTAATCTTTCAGCCTCTACCACCCAAGAGCTGGCGTTACAGGTGTGTGCCACAACTGGCTGATGAGGCCTGTTCTGATTCAAGTCTACACACGGTTTCCTCTGCTGGTCTCCTAGTGGCAAAGCAGGGCCTGTCCGGCTGTGGCCTGGCTCTGCAGGGGCGGAAGACAGACATTGCTGGTCCTAGTTGAGACTGGTCTCCTTAGACCCAGAAGCTGCGCTTTTGTTTCTCTGTTTTGTCACCTCCTCGCTATGGTAGACTCCATCCCACCTGCTCTATGAGCCTGTCCCATCTCCACGACCCTCACTTTGGCTGAGTTGTGCAGTCCAATGCCTGTGCCTCTCAGGGCTAACAAAGGCTCACGTCTGCACACATGTGTCCCTATCAGAGGAGCAGACTACATCTCTGAGGGAGGATGGCAAATTAGTCTGTGGGACTGCCTGGATGTTTAGAAGTAGGATGGATGAAGTGACCACTTCCAATTCTACCAGCCGTCTTTTATCTGTCCATTCTCTACAACACTGCTGCTAAAACTACAAAACTGGGCTCAAGAGAAGGCTCAACGGCCTGCTCTCTCAGAGGACCTGGGTTTTGTTCCCAGCACCCATGTAAGGCAGCTCACACTGCCTGTGCCTCTAGCTCCTTGGGATCTGATGCCCTCTCCTGGTCCCTGAAGTACCCACATATATGTGGCATACACTCACATAGATATAAATAAAATCTAAAATAAGGCTGAGTAGTGGTGCACACACTTTTAATCCTAGCACTCGAAAGGCAGAGGCAGGCAGATCTCAAGACCAGCCTGGTCTACAAGAGCTAGTTCCAGGACAGCCTCCACAGTCACAGAGAAATCCTGTCTCGAAAAACAAACAAACAAAAATCTAAAATAAACAAAACTATTAAAATAGTGAAATTGAAATATAAACCAATTGTGTACTGGAAGGTGGGGAGTTGTGCATTGGGAGGTGGGGAGTTGTGCATTGGGAGGTGGGGAGTTGTGCATTGGGAGGTGGGGAGTTGTGCATTGGGAGGTGGGGAGTTGTGCATTGGGAGGTGGGGAGTTGTGCATTGGGAGGTGGGGAGTTGTGCATTGGGAGGTGGGGAGTTGTGCATTGTGAGGTGGGGAGTTGTGCATTGGGAGGTGGGGAGTTGTGCAGTGAAAGGTGGGGTGTTGTGCACTGGGAGGTGGGGAGTTGTGTGATGGTAAATGGGGGATGAATCAATGTTGAGATCATCTGCAGCTGAGTCAGTAGGTCCAAGTCTGCCCCTACAGAACCACTTTAGCCTTGAAAACCCTGGCGAGAAGCCGGGCGTTGGTGGTGCACGCCTTTAATCCCAGCACTCGGGAGGCAGAGGCAGGCGGATCTCTGTGAGTTTGAGGCCAGCCTGGTCTACAGAGTGAGTTCCAGGACAGCGTCCAAAACAATACAGAGAAACCCTGTCTCGAAAAACCAAAAGAAAAAAAAAAAAAGAAAAGAAAACCCTGCCGAGGAAGAGAAGGCTGAGGCACCTATGCCCCCAGAGATAAGGATGTCTTACCTTGGTATAAGACAGCAAATCCCTGGGCCTGATTGATGCGATCAGAGAAGAAATACAAAATGACAAAATCCAGGGAGACATTAAAGGACAGAGGTGGGCGGTTCCTCCCATTGAAGCGGACCAGGACACGGTGGGTGTAGCCATCCAGCAGCTCCACCATGTCTGCAGAGTCCCTGATGTCAAATAAGGTGAAGTTGAAATGGATGTGAGAGGCTCCCGGAACCCGGATAGTCCAGTAGCAGACGCGCCCAGTGGCGTAGGTGTCAGGGAAATCAGGGGAGTAGACCACGGCTGCCATTGCTGAGTAGTTCCCACCGCAGGCGCCCACGAGAGCTGCAGGAGAGAAGACATCGTGGCTGAGGCTCAGCTCCTCCCTGATTCCGGCACAAACAAACTCCTGAGAAATGTGATCCCATTAGGGACATTGTTTCCAGCTACAAAACCAGACCATCTTGGGTTTTAGGATCAAATCACAAAAGGAATCACTTACACCCTGAACAAATGACTGTACAGATATTTGGTTTCCCCCAGGAGACCTGACAGTCAGTGCTCAGAAGAGCAGCCTAGGCTGGGGTCTGGCTGGAGTCAGACAGTCTGGATTCAGGACCAGCAGAGCCATGTGATCCTAGGGCTGCACCTCATTCCCAAGCCTCTCTTTGTGTTTCCTGTTTAGGGCCACCACCTGCTCCTGTATCCTATGACAGCGAGAGGACAGGAGATAAAGTGCATGAAGACACTGGGACCTCGGCAGAGGAGGGGCTTCTGAAGACTGAAGTTGTGACTGAAAGGCTCTGTGTCTCCTCAGGGTCTCCAGTACCTCAGAGGTGCAGCGCTTGCGTGAGAGATCTGCAAGAAGCTCTGGACTGGAAGGACAGCTCTGTAGGGGAGCCTAGCTTGTGGAGCCATGGGTTGGAGCCCCCAAGCACCCAAGGGGAAGGAGTGGGGTGATCCCAGATTCATGAGTCTGTAGCAGCCGCGTTTTGTGTCAGCCATGCTTTCTCTGGACTGGGTTTGATTAATAGGCCTTTAGAAAGATGAGGCAACCACTTTCGGTCTTACATAATCATGACCTTGGAAATGAAAGACTTCAGCAGGGAGTGTAGGAATAGGATTTAAAAGAAAGTTTATTTTTCAGTGCTGGGATGGAATCTAGGGCCTTGAGCATGCTCAGAAAGTGCTCTTCCGCTGAGCTACATCTCCAGCAGGCTTTAGGGGAGTTCTTCTCTATTTAGCGCACAGAAAAGCAATAAAAACAAGCTGCTTTGCTGGCCCTGGTGGTGTAGGCCTGTAGTCCAAACTCTGAGGAGGCTGAGGTCAGAGGGCAGTCAGTTCAAGACCATGTCTCAAAGCACTGATGAGAGCTGGGGGCAGCACGGTGACCAGCGTGTGAGTCCCTGGGGTTGATTTCTAGCACTGGGGAAACAAAGCAAGTTGCTTTCTCTTCCTAGAAATGAGAAAGTCCAAAATCAGAGGATGAGATCTCAAACAACCAAGGAAATTGCACACTAACAAGTATGGATGAGGCCACAGAAATGGGCTCATCTGTGCCAGAGCACAGGGCAGAGATGACCGCCACAGAGCTCGTGAATGGCTGCAGCCAGCGGAAGAGGTGACCGCCACAGACTGGCATGTGGATGGCTGCAGCTAAAAACATACCAGGTTCCTAGGGGCTGTGTCAGCCCGACTTCTCCACCGAGGACACTGAGATACAGTGGTGTTTCATTCACTTGCAAACTTCTGCACAGGCCTCCTAGAGTTGGCAGGAGGGGCCAGTGTCAAGCAGCCAGGCAGAGTTCTCGGTGGCCCAGGTGTGCAGGAGGCAACAGGCTGCTAAGGGCCAACCTGGAGCACCTCCTACTGCCTGGGCTCTCCTCTCAAAGGAAGGAAAGCCTCCAGTTGCTGGGAGGGAGGGCAGTTAACCCACTGCTCCCAGGGCCATTGGAGAGAGGCAGATGTGAAGCATGTTTGTATCTGGGGAGGGAGTAGGAAATTACTTTCTTAGTAACAAAGTAAAGACCCACGCTTCTGGGAGAAGAGCCATAGCAAAAGACCTCAGCCCCTGGTCGCCTTAAGGCCTCCTTGGGAGAGAACAGGATTCTCCACCACGTTCCACCAAAGACCAAAGTGGTGTGTGGCTGTCAGGGGAAGAGGGAGTGAACCACTGATGTCACCTTGCTCCGATGGCTGGTAGCATGTCCTAACCTGAAGACAGGCAGACCCAGCAACCCCCATACCTTCCCACAAACAGCACCAAGTAACAGACAAAAGCTATCTCCCTCAAGGGCAGGACAAAAGGTCCTGCTCAGGACTGAGCATTGGACAGGACACTAAAAACCCCACTACTCCACACTAAACACAAATCAGGGATTTGAGAGAGCCTGAAGGGTACCAAAGGGAATGTCAGAAAAACAACCCAGACCAGCTAAGCTACTGACAGACCCAGTCTAGTCCCCAAACTGAGCAGGCCGCCCAAGTGTAAATGCTGCTTACCTTGGCGTCTTCATCTACCTGCAGTGTGCGACATTAAACAATACCATAGCACACACATGAAAGCAAGACAAAATGGGGAAGGTTCACTGCCAATATAAAGCAACTCACGGAACAAGTGACCCAGATGGGGAACTGTCAGACACGAGACCACACAATGAACACAGAGCAGTTAGTTCATAGTGAAAAGAAGGACAGCACGCTGGAACACACTAGAAAGCTCATGGGAGGTGTGGGAACTACAGCAAGAGTCAAATGAACTAGGCGTGGCACTAAGAGACTGTAAGCCTAGCACTCAGAAGACAGGCAGACGGTTAGACATTTAAGGCCAGTCTTGACTACATGAATTTTGACGTCTGCCTCGTCTCAAAAAACCCAAAGGAACCAAATGTTGGGACTGGAGAGATGACTCAGCAGTTATGAGTGCAGACCACTCATCAAAGGACCCAAGTTGAGTTCTTAGCACCCACGTCAGATGGTTCGCAACTGCCTGTAAATCTAGTTCCAATGGACCTGAAGTCCTCGTCTGCCTTCATTGGCACTGTGCTTATGTATGTGTACACACACACACACACACACACACACACACACACACACACACCTAAAAATAAAGACAAAAATTAAAAACAAACAAAACTAGCAAGATATTGAACAGTGCCAGTGAAGAAGCACTCCTGTGATTTACCTGCACACTAAGCGCAGCTGAGGGAGAATAATAAAGACACATCAGTGAAACACATTATCCAAAATGAAACAGTGCTGTGGGATGACCCTTCCATACGCTGTGAATACGTTTTTCTCATTGGTTAATAAAGAAGCTGCTTTGGCCTGTAGCAAGGCAGAATAAGGCAGGGGGTGGGGGTGGGGGTGGGGAACCAATGGAGACAGAGGGAGACAGAAGGGTGGAGTGGAGAGAGATGCGAGCCAGCCTCCAGAGAAATAAGACGTGCCAGAGGGCAGGTAAAGCCACAAAGCCACGAGGCAAAGTGTAGATGAATAGAAATGGGGTAATTTAAGTTGTAAGAGCTAGTGAGTAGTAAGCCTGAGCAATAGGCCAAATATTTTTATAATTAATATAAGCTTTTGTGGGATTATTTGGGCCTGGGTGGTTGGGACGAAAGAAAAGCTCCAAAACAGAGGAAACAACAAGAACAGAGCATGTGGTTCTGGGGATGGGGTTGGCCCTGCTAAGCACTCCAGCCTGCTCTGTGTGTGAGTATGCCGGCAGAAAGCACAGCCTCCGTGGGTCATGAGAGGACAGAATAGCTAGGCACACTGGGTACCACTGACCACAGCTAAAACTGGATCAGCTATTATGATCTATTTACTTTATTATTGTTAATAAAAGGGATCTAGCTTCTGAAAAGAATTAAAACTGGCAAACTTGGGTTTGAATCTTGGCTCTGGTACTGACTGACTGAGGTAATTGACTTTTTTTTTTTTGTTTGTTTGTTTGGTTGGTTAGGTTTTTTAGACAGGATCCTACTATGCAGCTGAGGTAAGGTTTGAGGTAAACACACTATACAGACAATGTCCAAATTAGAACCTGCAAGAGATCAGTTATCAGTTGGGCTGGACAGTTATGCTATACAATGAGTGAACTGTGTCCCCCTAAGGATAGATTCAGTTCCTATAGGGTCTTTATACATGTCACACTAGGATGACGCCGTAACGGTCAGAGGGCATTTTAAGTTTAGTGGCTGGAGCCTTTGTGACATTCACAGAAACAGACACACAAAGTGGGAAGATAGCAGTGTTAGGGAAACAGAGGGAGGGGAGCAGCTGTAAGCCGGTGAATGCCAGAGAAGGCTGTGATACTCTTGCATCCAAAATGTCCCCTGCAGGCTCGCGTTTTCATCTTCTGTCCCCAGGAGACAGCACTATCTGGGAAGGCTGCAGCAGGTTTAGGGGATGGGCCTAGTTAGGTCACTAGGGGTGGGCAGTTGAAGGTTCTATATTACACCAGTCCCTGGCTCTCATACCTTCTAAGACTCCTTGTCTATCACCATGTGATCAGTTGGTCCCTCATGGTCCTGCCACCATGAACTGAATCATTCTGCAGAGTCCTCTGAAACTATGAGCCAGAGAGAACACGTGTGTAGCTCACCTGGCATGTCACTGTTAGGCTTGGGAACTGGGTTACAGGAGGAGGGTACAAGCTGGACAAGTCCTGGAGTGAAGCAAGTCTCTTTAAGCAATTCCAGTGGGAATTCGGAAGCCAGAGCATCAGCAGAAGCGAGAGCATGAGGTTTGTGTGAGGCTTTGAGTCAGAACAAGGCTCCAGCGAGAACTGCAGCCCATTCTGTGCATTCTGGCACAGAGTTTGTCTGTGTCCTTCTGGGTCCTGAAAATCTGAGTGAGGCTAACTTAAAAAGTAATGGAAAACGATCTAGCAGAAGAAATGTTAAGACAGTACAATGTGACATGGTTATTATGGTGTCTTTTAGCCAGGTTTATCATGAGACTTCAGAGAAAAAAACACAGTAGAAATGAAAATTAAATAGTTTAGCCAGAAATGAGTATGTTTAAAGTCACAGACAAAGCAAACAGAATAAGAGGCCACAGTTGTCAAAGAGAGGAATGTGTCTTTGGACGGAGACAACGAAGTTCTTTGATGGCATTTCAGGAAGGAAGTGGCAAGCTGTGAGCCATCGAAGGCTCTGGGTTGTAAGATGGAGCATTCATTTAGGAGATTTGACAAGGTGTCCTGCTAGAGAAAGTGTTTTCCCAGCTTATGTGCCTGGGCAGCCACAGTCCAAGCAGGCCTGGAGACAGCACGGGCTGTCAGCAGAGCCCAGCATTGCAATATGGTACTGGTTTTGCTGGTATGCCAAATACAAGAACTACAGTCATGGTTTGACTGACATTCATGTCAGGACACCTCAGGCGTTGTTCTTCAGGAGTTTTCTACCTTGTATCTTGAGACAGGAGCTTGCCATGTTGGCTAGGCTGGCTAGTCAATGAGTCCCAGGGATTGGCCTCTCTCTGCCTCCCTAGTGCTGTGATGACAAGCAGGCATCACCATGCCCCACGGAGCCATCTCCCCAGCCCTACACCTACATTTTTAAGGAAGGCGCAGGAGACTGTTAGCAAGCAGCAGTGTCAGGTTCCCTGAGGCAAGCCCCTGACAGACTATGTGTGAAATTATGAGAGGGAAATATGAATGTCAGTGGAGTCCCGGGGACATTCCAGGAGCAGAGGATGTCTGCTGAGAAAAGCTGCAGGCAAAGAGTGGAGCCAGGCAAGGAGGAAGAATGTGAGGTACAGGCAGCAGGGTCATGTGGGCAGGGCTGCCCACGCCTGTCAGAATCATGTCACATATCTTGACGGCAGCAGCAGAGACTAGGATTTAATAGCACCCTGCCTGGCTTTGGACTTGCCGTGGTCCAATCTTACTGCTCTCCTGCTCCCCTGTTTGGAAATGAGGATGCTGACTCCTGCCACTATACCTTGGGAGTGTGTGACTCCTTTTGGTATTATAGGGATCCCAGTTCCAAATTTTCCTGTTTCAGAAGAGACTTCAGATATCTGAACAGAGTTGGGGTTGTTAAGACTGGGGGTTAATGTTAAAGATATGGCTCAATGGTTAAGAGCACTGGCTGCTCTGCTAGTGGACTTGAGTTCAATTTCATGGCCACTCAGGACATCAGGAATGCATGCATGTGGTGTACAGGCAAACCTGAAGCCAAAGCACCCATACACAAAATAAAAAATAATAAAGTCCCAGGTTTAAACAAAAACTGTGAGGACTTCTCAGTTGGACTTAATGCATTTGGCACCGTGAGATGGCTATGAACTTGGGGAGTCTGAGGTAAATGTTATTACTTGAGTCTAAACTATCTTTGCTCATTCCTTTGGTTGAGAAGCTATGGAATGGACATAGATGGAAGATGTAAGTTCTTCCAAGGGGCAGGCCTTTGCAGGTCATAAATCAGTGGCTGGTTCTGGCACTCTCCTGCTCAGCTGACACATGAACAGTTTCCACCATGTAGTTCGGCCATGAGCCCAAGCCACTCCATCACTCCCTCCTGCTATAACGCCCTGAAGCCCCTCTGATGACATGGGTCAGAAGAAACCCTTTCCTGCCGCAAGTTGCTTCTCTTCTGTGAATTAGCCACACAGAAGCCTTGAGAAGGAGCATGGCCTGCTAACATCTTGACTGAGGGCATCTATCTTCTGTGAGAGAATAAGTTCTTATTGATTTAAGCCCTATAATTTGTGATACTTCATTATGGAAGTTCTTTGTCTTGTGAAAGTTTTGTTCAAAGTGGAGCTCTCTGCCTAGTTAGGAGTGCATGCCTGGTCCCCAGGCCATCAAAGACCCTACAGATGGGCTATACTGTCCTCAGTAAGCTTGAGGTCTCTCTTCCACCTTTCACCTTTGTAGAGTGTTAAAATCAGATGCCATAACTTTCACCAGATCGGCCACTGAGTGTGGATTATGACAAGGGATGAGAGAACCGTGTTGGAGAGGTCAAGATCCACACCTGACCAGCCCGGCCTTACCTCTGGCTGGCACCTCACAAATGTGGTGGACAGAGAGGTGGTGGTGCGGGCAAAGACCCTGGCAGGGCTGGGAAGATGGCGTGAAGCGTTTGCAAGGCCATCTCCTCAGATGCACCTCAGTGAGGCACACAGCCCTGGTTCTTACAAACACAAATGGGGTTGTTTTAAAACAAGAGCATGCAAGAGCATTGTTTTAAAACAAGAGCATGCAAGAGCATTGTTTTAAAACAAGAGCATGCAAGAGCAGAAGCTCTACAGGAACGCCAGTGTATGTACTAAGCTCAAAGCCGAATCTCTGCACTGGTCAAAGCAGCCCCAAGATAGCCTGTGGGAGGCTCAGAGGCTCTGAGCTCACAGATTAACACTAAGGGAACCAGGAATGGTAAATGCATGTGGTTGTCCCTTCTAAGGGAGGGATGCATAACCTGCTATCCACTCAGAAGCCTGGTGACCTATGCTCTGTGTGGCCAAGGCACAGTGGACCCTCCCCCAAACCCTTACCATGAGCTTGTCAATCTACAGAACCTATCTTTACATGGAAGATGTCACATGTACTTTACAAAGAGTTTTGACGTAGTCACATTTTAAGCTTCATTGTGCACATGGGACTGAGTTAATTACCACCAGGAAAATTGTCACCAAACTGTACTGTGCTGAAATATGCCTAAAATAAACTACTTGGGGTCAGACTCCCGAAGTTTGAACCAACACCAGCTACTGAGTAGTACAGAACTAAACTAGCTTCTTGCTTCCTGTGGGCTATTACTCTGCTGGCAGTGGTGGTCTATGACCAGCACAGATGCCCACAATAGCCAAGCTACCCAGAGCACTCACAGCTATAGATGATCTCAGTGCTTCAGTCCCAAGGGCTGAGTTACGGTTGGTATCACATGACAAGTGCCTCGTAAGTACTGAGAAGTGAATGAATAAAGATGGAAAGGTAGGTGGGTAGGTTTGCTGTCCATAGTCATGCCTGCGGCACCAACATACTCACTGTCAAAGAGGATAATCCTGCCGTCTCCACCACAGGGCTGTGTGTGGTCCCCGAAGCAGACACTATTGCACTCGGTGCTGGCTGCCTCTCCGTGCTTCCAGTAGTCAGGGTTGTTTCCACAGAAGCATGCGTAGCCTGACTCCATCCCAGCAAACTGCCACAATGGAAAAAGACTGTGAGAACTTCTAAGTTGGACCAAATATACTTCGCACCATGAGAAGGCTATGAACTTGGGGGACCTGGGGGTAAATGTTATCACTTGATGTTGGGAATGTTATGGGGGGCATCAGGTCCCAAGGGGCCTGGCAGCCCCCTTCTCCCCAAACCCTGGGCAATCAGCCTTAGTTTCCCAGCCCACCATTTCCCTGTGAGTGCTCCATAGTTTTACTGTCTATTCTAAGTTGGCCAGTAGCTCCACACCACTAATGTGTTTCCTGTCCATGAGAATTCCTCTCTAATGTTCTCATTCCCACTATATTTAACTAAATCTTTAAGAAGGACAATATTCCTTAAACATGAAATACTGATAAAAACAGCTAAACATTTTATTGACTGTTTACTATGTACCTGGTAAACCAGGTAAGATTTTATTACACTTTTTAACCTTTATTTTTATGCCCATGGGTGTTCTGCCTGTGTGTATGTCTGTGCATTGCACGTGTGCAGTGCCAAGGGAGGCCAGAAGAGGACACTGGGTCCCTAAGACCGGAGTTACAGACAGTTCTGAACTGCCGTGTGGACGCTGGGAGCCAACCCAGGTGCCTTGGGGTTTTAGTTATCTCTCAGCCCTCAAGATTGACTCTTTCATGTGTGTGCCTGTGTGTTCACCCTCTGCCCATCTGTATGTGTCTGTGTACACAAGTGCAGGTGCCACAGAGGTCAGAAGATGGTGCCAGGTCCCCTGATGTCTGAGTCAGAGGCAGTTACGAGGAGATGAACATGGGAGCTGGGAACCAAACTCTGGTCCTCTGCAAGAGCAGCGCGTGCTTGTCACTGCTGAGCCCTCTCTCGGGCCACACACTGCTTTGCAGCAAACTCATTTAAAGCTCATTTACATTTTCACTTCACTTTTTATGTTAACGCACTAATTGAGCACATAGTCCTGCAGGAGCCAATCCTGACACGGAACAAGCTGTGCCACACTGGTAGCCTCCCTGCTCTCCCTTTATAGTTCCTCCCACAGACCCTGCAACTATTACTCAAGTTTTCCTACTAGCACCATTTTGAGAACATAAAATGGCTTTTAAAAACACCAACAGCATGCCTGTATAGTTCGTGCTCACTGGAGCCTATGCTAACGCTTCCCGCCACTGCCTCACCTACTACAGTTCTGTACGATGTGGCTGTGGCATCATTCCTTATCCGTCCAGGCCCAGGTTTCCATTACTATGAACAGAGCTTCTATAAGCTTCCATGTACGGATTCTTGTGGGAATGTAAGCTTTCATTTGTTCTGGGTAATAATTAGGGGTGAGATTGTTGGGTTTAACTTTTTTAAAGAAACTACCAACCTTTCCCGGGACGATTGAGTCAAGCTGCACTGCTATACCGTGTGAGTTCTCACTGCTCTGGACCCTTGCCAACACCTGCTACTGCAGGTACACTTGACTTTAGCCACTCTGATGTTTGTGCATCTCATGGGGGCTTAATCCGAATTAGTTTAGTAACTGATGATGTTTAGAAGCTCATTTGCTCATTTGCCACTGGTGGGTCCACTTTGGGGATGAATTATTTGTTTTCTTTTGCCTATTCCAAAACCGTGTTGCCTGACATTTTACTGTTGTAATCTTTCCTTTTTTACATGTTTTGAATTAAGATAGACGATGCCTGTAGCCTCCCTCGGGCTGAGGCTCCAGATTTAACAATAGGAGAAAGTGAACTGAGCACCAGCACCTCATCAGTCTGGTTCCTGACCGCGGTTCAGTGTGCCAGCTCTCAGCTCCTGATGCACCATGCCTCAAAGCCGAGCTAAATAAACCTTCCTCCGTAAGCTTGTCACAGCACTGAGAAGTCACCCACACACGGTCCACACAGCTTAGGATGTGACTACCCCACTGCTTCAGTACCATTTGTTGAAGACTATCCTTTCTTATCTAAGGAGCTTGGTGGTTTTGTTGAAAACAATTGACCATCGATTCGTAGGTTCACTTTTGAATTGTAAAGTCTATTTTTTTGTAACTTTTTTTCTGTAGTTTAATGTCATTCTTTGTCTACACTGTGATGCAAAACTAAAGATTTATTTTTCTTCAGAAAGAACAGTGTTTCTTCAGAATTATTTGATGACAGCACTTCACTGTTGGACTGCCTTGAGACGTTCATAAAAATCAATTGTTTGCATCTGTGGAGGTCTGTTTCTAGATGGTTCCACTGATCTATAGCAGATTTCAGAAAAACTTTTCTACAAAAGCCAGAAGTAAATATTCTTTATTCTGTGGGCCACATAGTCTCCTTCTCTACCCAGCTTTGTGGCCACATGATGAAAACAGCTGTATGTAAATGAATAGGCATGGCTCTGTTTAATAAAACTTTATTTACCCAAACAAAGAATAATAGATGGGTGATTGGATTTTCCTGTGAGAAATTTCTGATTGCTCATAATTTACTCTCTTGGTGACAGTAGCTTCATGGAAGTCTACAGGTCAGGTGAGTAAGCCTCACAAAAATGCCCTTTACCAAGATCAATTTGGTGATCCTAAACCCTCTGTCTTTGCATCTGCATGTCAGGGTTGGCCATTTTTCTTTTGCATTGTTGGGGCACTGGCCTTGCCTGTCCTGGGCAAGCTTGATACTAAGTGTTGTCTTCAGAGTAGCATGCCATGTGTTTTTTTTTTGTTTGTTTGTTTTTTTGTTTTTTTAGTTAGTCACACGATTCAGTCATGTCTTTTTCACATTCCCAGAGATGGGAGCTTGGCCATCCCATCCTTCTTCCCGCAGCACAGACATGGGGACAGAAATGGAGTGAGGTAGGGAAGCCCCTAGTAAGAAAACCTCCCTGCTGTCAAAACCATCACAGTCTATTCTGACTTTGGTCAAGATTTCGCTAAAAGCAATTCTCTTAAGTTCATGATTCCCAAGGGCCTTTCTAAATAGATGCAGCAACCACCCTGTGAAACCACACAGAGGAAGAAAGGCAAATGCAGACTCTGCCCCCCAGGTGTCCCGGCTTTGACCTCAGCTTCCCAGGGCTGCTGTCCTTGGACAGAGGTCACCCAGGAGCTGGCCACAGGTTAAGCTTGGCTCAATACTCCATTCCCACTGGGGTCAAGTGAGAGTCTGGCAGGAGGTGCTGGAGGCTATGGTAAGCATTTGGGGGAACAGTGGGATTCTGCTACATCTGGGGTAACAGCACTCAAGGCAGGGGGAGCCTTGTCCTCATTGAAATTACATTCCTGGAAGAGTGCCAAAAATGAACTCTTAGGCCTCTTTTCGGAACAAGGAAGCCACTCCAGTGGAGAAGGGAGAGTCTCGGCCTCACTCTATGAGCTCCACGTAGTTGTCAGGAAACATGCCAAAGTGGCCATCAGGCCCATAGCCACGCCACCAGCCTTCATCAATCACCTCGATGCCCGTGATTAGGTTCTCAGGGTCAAAGGAGATCTCTGTGTCGTCAGGTGCCTGGGCGCACAGCCCTTGCCCACTGAGGCCCTGGCCCTGCGTGTAGTTGTCAATGTGTACAGAGCCAGCCCCTTGCTGCTGCACCAGTGGAGGGTCCTCGAAGAGGGTGTCCTGCTCTAGGGGTTCTTCATATGTGGGTTCCTCTTCTGTCTGGGCTGAAGACACAGTGCTAGGCGCTGGCTCCTCCTCACATGCAGCTGCTCCTGGTCTTGAGACAGCGGGAGTTGGCTCTCTGCCAGAGGAGACTTCTGGTTGAGTCAGCTGCTTCTGCAGGAAGGGGCTCCTCAGCTTGCCTGGCTGAGAGCTGGAAACAGAGGTACTCCTGCTTGAAAATCTCTCGTGAGCTGCCATGTCGGTGCTGGGAATTGAACCTGCTAGTGCTCTTAACCAATGAGCCAACTCCCCAACCCTTATTCCTTTTTTTAAAAAAACTCTTTTCTTTTTTGAGACAGAGTTTCTCTGTGTAACACTCCTGACTGTCTTTGAGCTCACTCTGTAGACCAGGCTGGCCTCGAACTCACAGAGATCCGCCTGCCTCTGCCTCTTGAGTGCTGGGATTAAAGGTGTGTGCCACCATTGCCTGGCTTTAAAAAGCCGTTTTTTTGGCACGACCCTCTAGACCAATGAGGTAACAGTGGGTATTACTGGTTGCTCATCATACTAGTTAGGAAGCATGGAACCCTTCATAACTGTGTCACATACTAGCTGTAGATTTTTTTTTTCTGTTTCAAAAAGCTGTATTTTTACTTGGTCCAAGACCTGGGAGGGGCTCCAGACTGTTACAAAGCTGCCTAGTGGCTTGAGAGATTGGGGTGAAGGTCCTGAGGTTGGCTGGTGCAGAGCAGAGGGAGCCCCTTGGAAGGCGAGGCCTCCTAATCATGCTTGAGAGTGAGCGGCTCAAAGAGATACTTGCCCAGAGCCAGCTGGGCCGTGCCAGTCTGCGCTGGCTGGGGGCTGGCCAGCCTACGGATGTTGGTCAGCCCATCTTCTTGAGGAGCTTCACCTCCTCATCCAGGAAGTCACAGAGATGAGGATCTATGCGACCAGAACCCAGGGGTGAAGATCCAAGAGGCCTGGTACAGGTTCTTCTCCAGGGCCAAGGCAGCTTCCATGGCTTCCAGGGTTTTACTCCACTCATCTTGAGATGGTTTCTGCACATCCTGGAAGACTGCGCAGCCCCCGAGGTCGTTCTGAAACTTGAGGAGCCGCTCGGCACCCTCGTGCTTCTCCTCGGCCAATCCTCAGAGGAAGTGGCCTACACCCTCCAGAGCCATGTCACCCCGATCAAAATAGCCCAGAGAGAGGTAGGTGTAGGAAGCACGCAGGTGCAGGTTGACCAGGCTGTTCATGGCAGCTTCCACTTCGGTGGGGTAATTCTGACGGATCTGGGAAGCCATAGCTGATCCGCTGTGTGGAGCTAACCGCAAAGAGACGGTGCTGACCGGTCTTAGGAGCCCAGGGCGGCGAGGAGATGGTCCCAAAGGCTGAGAGAGGCTGAGAAGCTGAGAAGCGGCTGGAAGCTAAGGGGGTCCCCGGTCTGTTCCGTCCAAACACTGTTGAAGCAAGACACAGATCCACCGGACCTCCGAAGCTGCACTAGCTGTAGATATTTTTTAAATAATTTTAATTACAGCCAGGCACTATGGTGCATACCTGTAATCCCACCACTTGAGAGGGGAAGGCATGGAGGACCAGGAATTCAAGGTCAGCCTGGACTACATGATACTCTGTCGTCTCCTCCTCCCCCTTCCCCCCTTTCTCCCCCCCCACATTTATTTGTTATATTTTGAGACAGGGTCTCAAATGTAGCTGTGGTAGGCCTATAACTTGCTATGTAGCTCAAGCTGGCCTGGAACTCACAGAGATCAGTGTGACTGCCTCCTAGGTGCTGGGATCAAAGGTGTGTGTGTCATCATGCCCACCTATTGTGGGAGATTCTTAAGAGTATATATATTTTCACCCAAATAGTAAGTGAGGATTTGGGATATTTGTAGACCTTGATGGTCATTTCCTATCAATCATTACTATGACAGTTGTCATATAGTAATCATTGCATTATTTCTTCTATACTTTCTAGTTTGCATTCACTAACCAGGAATGTTTATCTTCTCATTTGGTCATCACTGTGAAGTGGTGTGCTCTTATTTTAGTCAATAAGGTGCATCTATTACTGCTTATAGCAGGTCAGGGTTAGGCTGTGGGACCCCCTTCAAGGTGGCTCTGTCCTTTTGATAAATCTGTATTAATGTTTCTGCCCTACATGACGTGTTCCGAACACATCTTGTGCTTTCACAGAACCAACACAACATGGGTCATTTCCCCACAGAGCTTCTTTCTGGTGGAGAGCTGAGTGCTGGCTGTACTCCTCATTATCAGTGTGTAGCAAGGCTCCTGCTGGACAGTGATGAAGTGTATGCGTGTGTACATGCACAGTCGTTGCACAATGACATCATTATCTACCCTCTAGAGTCAAAGCCACGAGCTTACACTATCCAGTCCCTTGTAACACGACCTCTGGGCTTCATTTCAGTTTTCTCCAGCTTCCACATTTACACAGCCCTTCTCCAGCAGCTGGAATACACTAGTTTTGATACAGTCATTATATGCTCCAGATCTACACAAGCAACCAACTGCACGTATGGTCATGGGGGTTCAACTGCCTTTATTATTCACCTACCCCATTTGAGCTTGACCAGGCAGGGTACCCTTTCTTTCTTGGGCCTACTTAGTGGCTTTTAGACCAAACTGGTTAAGGAAGAAGAGAGAGAAAATAAAAAGAGAGAGGGAGGGATCTTTTTCTGTCTAATTTAACAAAAACCAGCACCGCTGAACTTTAGTGATTGGGAAGTAAATTTCAGATAAGGAAGGGGGAGAAAAGTGAACATTTGGAGAGGAGGTAGGCCTGGCAGTTTGCCTTGGCTTGAGTCTCTGTGGAGTCATTAACATCCTTGCTCATAACAGATCACAACTCAGTCAGAGGCCAAGCAGGGGCTACTACCCGCTCCCCATCTTTAAACCGAGTGCTGTCTTGTACTCCTGACTCCTGAGCCCACTCTCCCTGTGGGACTTGACAGGTGGGTTGTTCTAATTTGTCTTTTCTGTAATTATACACTGTAGAGCTGGTACCTTGAACCTCTGACTCCGACAAAAGCTGATACAGGTTTGTATGGTGAGCTTGTTGGACGTTTTACTGGTGCCAGTGAGAGGAGGTGGGTTTCCATGATCCTTGTAGCAGCCAAGGTTTCCAGGCACTAGAGACAAACAAAACAAAAGAATTTCACAACATCTGGCTGGGAACCGCTAGGAAGGAAATTCTGTCTGTGCCAGGTGTGCTTGCCCCACAGTGTTTACAGCCCTGAGGTACAACCCAAGCAAATGACAACGAGCTCTAAACGGACCCTCTGGTGCTGTTCTCTGCCAAATGCTACACCAGCTGCAAGAGAGTATGACATGCAGGTCCCGTTCAGCAAGCTGAAGACGTTCACTTTACTCTATCCGTGTCGTCAGAATTTGGCGCTGAAGAGACTAGGAGGGTATCTTAAGATAGCGCAGGTGGCTTTGCTTCTGGGACATGGCAGCCACGTCCCAGTAAAGCACCAAAGTGACAGACATAGAAGGAAAGGGCAGAGGAGGCTGCCGTACGCTTAGGCTGTTAGGACACATGGAGGTGTTCCTTTGACTACATACATGCAATTCTACAAGAAGGGAAATATTGTAGACATCAAGGGAATGGGCACTGTTCAAAGAAACAATGACCGAAAGTGTTTCTACAGTAAAACTGGAAGTGTCCATCACTCATCAGGCCATGGGTATCGTAGTGAACAAACAAGTGTAGGGTAAGTCTTGCCGAGAGAAGTAATGTGCACATTGAACATGTTAAGCACCAAGAGCTGAGCCAGCTTCCTGAAACTGGTGAAGGAAAATGATCAGAAAAAAAAGGAAGCCTGGAGAAGGGCATCTGTGTCCAACTGAAGCATCAGCCTGCTCCCCAGAGGAGCAGGCTTTGTGGGAACCAAGGGGAAAGAGCCTGGGCTGCTGGGGATGCTCCCCATGGATTCACAGGTTAATGTACAAAAGACGTAAAACACCTAGACTCCGTAAAAACATAACAAAACAGAGACTTTGTCTAGAAAGATGTCTCATGGGTAAAACCACTTTTTTGATGACCTCAGTTTGATCTCTGGAACCCACATGGCAGAGAAAACCAACTCCCAAAAGTTGTTTTTTGGCCTTCACATGTGAGCTGTGGCATGTGCCTCCTCCCCCTGCTCCCCCCAATCAGATCTAAACTGCTCCAAAATTACTGGAGGAGCATGGGTGGTAAGCACAGGTACACCACCCCCAGTGTTTGAGGTTAAAGTGGGGATGGTAAATTTGAGGGCAATCTGGGCTACACACTGCATTTAGACTTTGCTTTAAAGGTAAACAAACAAATAATCAAAAAACAAAGGGGCTGGAGAGATGGCTCTATGATTAAGAGTACTCAGGTTGGATTCCCAGCACTCACAATGGTAGCTCAAGACAATCTGTAAGTCCAGTTCCAGGAATCCAGACTCCCTCTTCTGGCCTCTGCAGGTATCAGGCAAGCACATGGTGTACATACATACATGCAAGCCAAACACGCACATGGTGTACATACATACATGCAGGCACACAGAGACACATAAAATAAAAAAAAATACATCTTTCAAACCAAACAACCCCAAACTCCCCAAAGGAACCTAAGTTAACATAGTACAGAGAGATGTATATCCATGTTTACTGTGGAATCAATCTCTATGTCCACCAAGAAATGAATGAATTAAAAACAATGTGATACAGAGACAATGGAATTTTACTCAGTTATAAAGGAAAAAAATTGTAACTAGGCATGGTGGTACATACCTTTAATTCCAGTATTCAGAAGACAGAGGCAGATAGATCTCTGTGAATTCAAGGCCAGCCTGGTTTAAATAGTGAGTTCAAGGACAGCCAGGGCTCCACAGTGAAAAGTTAAACCCGCACTCAACACAAACAAAAGCATTCGGTTTTCACATATGAATTCACACTAGTTGTGACAGCATGCACAAGCCCTGTGCAAACTCAAGTCAGACCAAATAGCAGCATGGAGAAGGGAGATAGGCGTGAGGTCCCACTCCTACCTGAGGAGTTATTGGCAACTGACAGCTACTGGGGGAGGGAGGCCAGTTTTCTATAACAGTGCTGCCCCTGGAGTTTGAACACACTCCAGTGGAAGACCACACATCCATGAATATATGGGCAGCATGATTTGGACTTGATGGGAAGAAAAACAAAAGACAGAAACCAAAACTGGGTAGGGAGGAAGGGGGTGAATATAGGAGTTGCTGGAGGAAGAGTAAATATGGTTTAAACATGTATGAAATTCCCAAAGAAATAATAATAATAATAATATTGTAGCATGTGGGTGTGTGTAGGCCAGGGGATCACCTTGGGTGTTGTTCTCAGGGGCCTCTCAGCAGTCTGGAACTCACCAAGCAGGCCAGGCTGGAGCCGGTGAGTGGCAGGGGTCACCTGTCTGCCTTGCCAGCACTGGGGACACATGCATGGCTCACTGTGAATAGCTTTTTAGAAAATATTTGTTTTTATTTTTAAGTGTATGTATGTGTGGGTTTACGTGCATCACATATACCGCAGAGGCCAGGGGGTTTTCCAATAAGTGATTGTGAGCCCCCAGATATGGGTGCTGGGAATCACATCTGGGTCCTCTGCAAGGGTAGCAAGTGATCTTAACTGCCATCTCTCCAGCCCCCATGCCTGGCCTTTACATTTTTTTTTAACTTGGGTTCTGGGAGATCAAACTCAGGTTCTATGACTAAGCAATCTCCACAGCTGCTTATATACACGCGGATGATGTCAAGTGGCACCACTGGCGAGAAGGAAGCAGATCTGTGGGATTTAGACACAGGAGGCAATGGCTGCATGACGGGGGTGAGCATGGCCAAAGTACACGATGAGCTTGAGTCAGTATACGAAAGCACTTGAATTGCAATGTCTTTATGAAGCAAACAGCACTGTACAAAAATAAAACAGGACAAACAAAATGTTTCGGTCACAAGAGGGCAAAACAAATCCTCAGAAACCCCCACATTCTTTAAGACAGTGAAAGGGCCTCCCCAAGTCTTCTGGTGAACAGTGTGCTTTCCCATTGCTTCAGGACAAACGACCACAGACCTGCCGTCTCAACTGTACTTATTACCTTTCATTCTCTGAGGGCCAGAAGAACCAAGAGATTTTAAGAGCCCAAATGAAGGTGTCAGCAAAGTTGAGCCACACTCGAAGAATTCTAAGAAGCATCCCACACTCTTCAGTTATGGCCACGTGGCTGCTGGCTCCTCACCACCTCTCCCCTCCCCGCTTCCTCCGTCCCGTCGCAGGCCCTCTGACTCACATCTTCCTGTAAATGAGCTGGACCCACATGGGTAATCCAGGATAATCTCTTCTCCCCAAGTCTTCAGCCACACTCGCAAAGTCTCATGCCATGTAAGGTCACATTCTCATAGGGTTAGGATTATAAACTCCTATCTTTGGGGGTCATTATTCAGCCTACCACAGGAACACATTAGTGTTTTACAGCCACAAGCTAGATTGTTTGGCCTAGTGAGGCAAGAGGAACATAAATATGGGTACCAACCATGGTAGCTGGCTTCCCCACAGCCTTGGGGATCTGCTATGGACTGAATACGTACACCACTGTGGTGTAATAAGAAATACACTTGGTTTCTACCCACTTCCTGCCACTTCTCTAACCCTCAAGACACTGGTGACTCTTTCTAATGAGGCACCTCATGGTGGGCTCCTGGTTACCCTCATGGTGGGGGCCGAACCCCAGACAGACCAAGCCACAATTAGTAACTTGGAACTTTCAGTGTCCCTCCCCATCCTCCAGGAAACAGAAAGGGTAGAAATGGAGTCAACACTTGATTGTGCCTACCTAGTGAGGCCTCTGAAAAACCACTGGAGATGGCGTCCAGGGTGTTTCTGGGTTACTAACGTAGCCATGCTGAGAAATGGCACACTCCACAGGGACAGGGGCTCAGAACCTTTTGGACCTTAACCAAGGCACATCCTCAACTTATCTCATCCTTTCAGACACACCAGAGAACGTGTTCCTCAAGTTCTGAGAGCTATTACAGCAGATTACCAAACCTGTGGGGGAAGTCTTAGAACCCTTTGCTTTGTAGACAAGCCTAGAGACTCACAACTTGACTAGCATCTGAAGCAGGGTGTGGCCCAGCAGGGCACTGACGCTGGGTGTTCAGAGGCATGACAGAATTGTAAGCCATCCTGCTGGCATGGGGACAAGCTGCTGGGAAAACTCATCCATCTGGTGTCAGAGTCAAGTCTGTGGGTATATAGGGGAAAGATTGGTTTCCTTCGCCGGGCGGTGCTGGCGCACACCTTTAATCCCAGCACTCGGGAGGCAGAGGCAGGCGGATCTCTGTGAGTTCGAGGCCAGGCTGGACCAACAGCTTCCAAAACAATACAGAGAAACCCTGTCTCGTAAAACCAAAAAAAAAAAAAAAAAAAAAAAAAAGATTCCTTTTATCCCTCAATTCTAATGCTGGTCTGAATAAACAGTGTGAATGGACTTGGAGTGAGGCCTCCGGGAGGTAATTAGATGAAGTCAGGAAGAGTGAGCTCCCACAATGGGATAAGAAGAAGAGACAAGAGCCCATTCTTTCTCTGCCATGTGAGTACTCATCAAAAACACAGCCATCAACAAGCCAGGAAGAGGGGTTGCACAACATGGCACACTGAAGACACCAGACTCCCAGCCTACTATGTTCATAAAGTCACTTGGGCCCGAGCAATTATGTTTTAAAACATTATAGTACTGCAGGGCATTTTAGCAGTTTAATCCAGGCATTCAGAAGACAGAAGCATCTCTGAGTTCAAGGCTACCCTGGCCTACATATTGAATTCCAGACCAGCTAGGGATAACATAGTGAGACCCTGTCTCTCCCAACACCCATGTGCACCAAATAAAAAAGTATATACTATCTAAAATAGATCCCTGTCCCTAAAGTTCATGCCCTGTGTAAGCCGCCCTCGCCTTTACACTTTTTGAGACAAGGTTTCAATATGTAGCCTTGGCAGGATCACAAGACGACAAATAGGCTGCAGCAAAGGCCTGTGGCAAAGCAAAGCCCTGAGGTTGTGCTGGGCTCCAGCCAGCCACACACAGAAGACGGCGTCTTATCAGGGCTGTGTCATAAGACGGCATCTTATC